TTTTTTTTTTTTTGGTTTTTTGAGACAGGGTCTCACTATGTAGTTCAGACTGACCTGGAACTCACTATGTAGCCCAGGCTGGTCTAGAACTCACAGCAGTCGTCCTGCCTCAGCCTCCCGAGTACTGGGATTACAGGCATGAGCCACCATGCCCGGCTTTTGAGTGACTCTTTAGCAAGACATTCACAGCCAATTACAATCTGGCCCAGCCATTCCATCTGAGTTTTCTCTTCTACAGTCACCTTTAAGTCTACCCTATATTCCTGTCAAGTCCAACTGCTTCTTTCCCTTGACTTGACAGGCCTTTTCCTGCCTCTGTCTTTGTACTTGCTAGCAGCTCTACTTGAAGATATCACTTCCTCCAGAAAGTCTTCCTTGATTTTTTCTACAAGGAACTGAATGAGTCTGTTTCCATGTTCTCAAAGCATTGTGTTCATTCTTCTCTTGCCGTATGCTTGACAAACTACTAGAAGCTATCCCTAAAACAAACACTGAGTTCTATTCATATCATTGTCAGACTCTCACTGTGACCTGCACATGTTTAATAATCACTGATGGGATGAATGGACAGCTGGGTGAATGAGTACAGAAACACAACTCTGTTGTAGAAAATTATCATACCCAAGCCCATAATTCCTAAAGGAAATTGTGCGCTAGAATTTTCAGATGTAATAATCCTTTCTGAAAGAAAATCCATGTTACTGGCTGTCTTCCTTAGAGCAATCCCTTTTGCCTCTGCTCTTTCTTATTACGAATAAGTGAAAAACCAGACTCAGATCTGAGAAAGAGAGGCTCAATTACATTCTGCAGTGCAGGGCTTGCGCAAAGTGGAATCATGATTATAACAAGATTTCTGATGACACTAGCAAAAACACAGCCGATTCTCCTTAAATGAAAATGGCATTTCATGGTTTCCTGGGAGTCAGGCTTCGAAGCTAATGGGGCTCCTGGAGAGCGTCCATCTTAGCTCCTTTTTAAAACAGATTCAGAGACAGAGAGCAAGACTGGTATGAAGGATCACCCGAGCGCTGTCACACGCTGCACTTCGGGCTCTGTAAGCCCAGAGGGAAGGCCAAGCCCAGCTCATGGGGGACTCTCCATATGGTCCCTGGGCAATTCCACTCGGACACCACCACTCCAAGCCCCAGCTGACAGCCTTGTAATTTTCAGTCGCTGCTCATGTGTTCTAGGGAGAAGTTCGTGTCATCTGGACAAACTTTCAACTGGGCTTGGCCTGCAACCGAGCTCTGTAACTTTCCATGGTGTAGAAGGCAACACATCATTACGTCTGGAATCCAGCTGGACACAATGTGCTGAGCACTAAGAGCTAACAGACCGACGGTCACAAGGGGGAAATACAATCTATGCGGATCCAACTTCTTTTGTCCTCTAAGAAAATGTCTTCGGAAGAAACACTTATTTTTCAAAGTCCAAAATGAAAAATGATCATCAAAGCCAAAGAAAGATGTGAGATTAATCCTTTGTACATATAAATGATAATTTCACTAGAATGCAATCGGAGCTTTTGTATTCTAAATTAGAAACTCAGAAGAGTGTTTTGATATTTGTTCAAGGCTTGGAACCTGAACTACATTAAAAGTACAATGAGAGTTTATTCTATTATGACAAGAACCAGATTTCCTAATCAAAGCAAATTGTTTGGCATTGCCGTAAAACACTGCTATTTAGAAAAACCACCAGAGGTATCTTAATGGCAATAATTTGGTGTGGTAATTATATGAAGGTCAGGTTATGCTCTGCAAATCACAAACATTGGCAAAGCAATAATTGTAATTCATCCACCAAGTCGCCTTACTTTAATTAAATAACAGAGCACTGCGACACTCCCCCTCGGAAGAGCACTTAAATAATGCTGCTAAGTGGTCCGTAATCATTTAGACAAGATTGATATTCTGTGAATACAGTATTTCTTCAGTGCCTCCCTTCCACTGTGATAGTTCAAGCAGTAATGTATGAAATATATATTAGAAGTTTCCTTTCCCTTTGCAACAGGAAATCTTTGTGTATGCCCTGTTCCTGGCACTGTCACTTGCTGGAGAAACAGAAGAACAACTCTTATTGTGACTATACAAAGAGATAGCACTTGGGGTAAAGACAAAGGAAGGACAAAAGCCCAAAGTGAACTCACCAAACTGTGGCCATTTATGACCAAGGCATAATCTCCTGTTACTGTTACGGTGTCTTCTCCAACCGAGACCAGCTCCAACTGCTGCTGCTTTTCACAAGCCGCATGGCCACTGAGAACACTACTGTTTTGTCCAAACAAACTTCCCTTTGCCTTCCTTAAAGAACAGGGGGTGAAAAGAAAATCACAACAAAGTACACAGAGCATGCCTTCAACTCTGACAAGAGACTGGCCTTGCAGCAAACTCATTCCATCCCTCGTCAGCCAAGAGGGAAGAAGATCCAGTTTCAGGGAGCTGGTCAGGAGTTCCATCTCTAAACTGCAGGAAATGGACAGGTAAACATGACAAAAACAGGGTCATCTTAAATGTTTTATATCACCTAGAAGGTAAATCTCCTCCTTGAGCTGGATTTGACTAGGAGTGCTTGATACATTTGTGTAGATGGGCAGCCGAACCACTAAATAATGGAAAGCAAAAAACTAAAGACAATTGTTGAAATCTAAGAATTCCATTTATCTGAGGCACAATGTAATAGAATCCAGTCTTCTGAGAAACACATCTTTTAAAAAAGATTGATAATAAAAGCAAATGATAAGTGGTGTGTGTGCCAGTCATTATAAAATAGAATGTTTTAAGCAAAAATTATACTCATCAGACTGAACAACAGATTCATCCTCCAACAAGGTGAACAGACACAAAAGTGTAGGGCTTCACGCCACATGGAAGCTCTCTCCAAATTCCCTAGATCTGACTGGCAGGAATTCCAGAAGAATCCCGCCCACATCCAACCGGTCGATCTTGTTTAAGAGGAGTCTTCTAGGTGCCATAATAGCCCTTAGATGACACATTTCAAGATTCTCTTCAAAATGCAAAGACAGTGCCCGCCCTTGGAGGAGCCCTGGCGGACAGGACTTATAGGGCAGACAAAGCTGCAGCTGGAGACCTACCAGCCAGTGCCCCCAGAGACCAGCACCCCAGCCAGCCACCAACCTTGGAGTCCACAGTGCTGTGTGAGGTGCGTGGCCAGAAGGAAATGGGGCGTGAAAGATGAGCTACGTGGTGAAAGCTTTGGCTTATGGCAGAACACACAGGTTCCGGAAGGACTCACCCAACATAACAACATTCATGGAGACGGCTTTATGCGTAGACACCCCAGGAGGAGACAATGGCCGCTGTACCAAAACAACCTTTTTCACCAGCAGCTTTCTAATTATTCAGCGATGTAACACTTATTGTCTGCACACAAAATGTCATAGCAGAACCCCAACTCACAGCAACAACAACAACACAGCTTATCTTCTGGCTCAGCACCTCTTTCTGCTGTCCAGGATGGAAATCACAGCTTGTATTTAGGTACCTAGAGGTCACAGACCCTCTGCCTGAGGACAATGTCACTCCTTTAACAACCAGTCTGCAAAACCACAGAGAAAGATTTACAGAGCCAGATGGCTACTCGAGAAATGTGGGGAGTAAGAGTGGGAGGCGAAGGCAGAGCAGACATGAAAAATCACTGCTTAGGTGCGAGGAGGAGCAGATAACCGTGTCAGGGAACCCTCACGGGAGTGGGGATTTACAACCCCATATCATGAAGAAAACAGGGGAGACAACTACCTTCGAGGTGGACGTTTCTCTGACAGCACCACAGAGCTCATAAACTGGATCTTAAGTCACAAAGGGAAAACATCTCCTGGGGTCTTCTTGTTAGCAAAGTTCTCACTCTGTATAAATGACTCAACCTCTGCTTTCCCCCAGAGAATGAAAGCATTCCACGGAAGGGTGAAGTTCACAAAAGCACTGGCTGACATTCTGTTTACTTGGGTTTTTCCCCCTACACTGTCTTCCTAACATGTGACATGAACCCTTTTTTCAGGCAGAAAAGGGACAGTCTGCCCAGTTTTGCTTACATTCCCTCTGCTCTCTCCTCGAAGGCCGGGACTCCTGGCCAGCCCAAGCGCTCACGTTTTCAGCCCTTTGCCTGTGTTGTGTAGCTGTCATTTCTTTTTATTCTTGGAACTTAGCTCTTCAAACACCAGCTGGTTCTTGCAAAAACAATTTATTAAGAGGGAAGGAAAAAACTGTGCCTTACTCCCTTCAATGAAAGGAATCACATACACACACACACACACACACACACACACACACATATTTTGCAGGCATAGCACACAATACTTGACCACAGAATACAAACAACAAATGCCAAAAGAGTGCCTGTGTTTTCTAAGTTTTGTAATGAAGAGCAGTTTGTGACAATAGTGGTGTATAAATGTGCAATCATAGCTGAGTGACTGTGACATTCATAGTCCCACACATCATGAGCATAGCAAGGCACAGAGAGGCCTGTACATGCTTGTATGTGACCTTTTGTGAAGAAAAGAGACGGCAGCAGAAAGAATCTTCTGGTTACTCAGTCTTCGGAGGAACTCTATATTCGGACACTGAAAGGATCTGTTAGGAAGCGGATTGAACTCATGACATTATGTTTAATAGAAGACAATCTAGTCTTGGATACCAATGCTAGAGTTTTGGGCTTGGTACCGGGAGACTCAGGTCCAGGACCAAGGTCTTCCCCTGATGTCCAAGGTTTAGTTATCTGACTTCCAGGAATTTGATCAGTCAGTGATGAGTCAGAACTAGAACCCAGGACTTTAAACTCCTAGTTCTTGGTCTACCACACAAATCAGTTTATATACATAGAGTCAGTTGCAGGCTGCCTCTGGGTTGGACAGATAGAGTTACAGAAGAGGAATTAAGGGACTGGTGCTACTGTAGCAGTGGTTCAGAAAGGAGGAAAGCTAATGAAATTCTGATTTCAAGGTCCAGTTCCACCATCCCTTATAACCAGAACGATCTATAAGTCACTCAGCTCCTGCCATTAATAATGTTATTGTTAGAAATAAGTGGGTTGGGACTGGCCAGTCAAACTGTGAAAATGGATACTAGCTATAGAGCCATGCTTCTGACACTTCGGACTAGAAGATCTCAAGATCTGAAAAGGTACGATTTATGAGAGAAATTTAATTACTGAAACATTTTGCCTGGATGACTGAAGTGTAGAGTTAGGACCAAAATGCACTTTGTTGGCTCTATGCAGTAGTGCTTCAAATAATTTATGTGACTCTATAGCCAGCACAATCTTCCTCTTCACTGAAGACCTCATCATACACAGCACCCCCACCCACCCTCCACCAAAAAACATAAATGGTCCAGATCACACAACTAATATTTCCTGTTCTGCCCACCCCTGGGGCTACTGCATTTCAGAACCCTGTTCATTCAATGCAATCATTTTCCATCAAGTAGATGTTCAAAAACTACCAATGCACATTTTGTTGATTAAAGAGGAAATATCAATTCATAAGTATATCATGGGGATGCCTGGAAGGCACAATGAAGTCAGTCACTTCATGGTTTAATGATTTTTTCTAACAAAACATGTGATCAATGCTACAAAAATGAAATATGGAATGAGTTCTTCTGGCAGACCAAACAAAATTACATTTTCAGCCTGTTTTTCTTTGGGCAGAAGACATGTATTGGTGAAATGTAATCAAGGCAGTAATCTTCTGAGAAACCATAGCAGGCTTTAAATGTAGGTTTCTCGGTATGCCCTTAATATGAAGGCAGCTACAGCAGCAAAATTAAGCCAGGGCTCCAAATGCCTAAAATGGTCTCAAGACATTAAATTTGAAACAAGCCGTATGTATGATACGCATGAAAATTACATATCCATGTTTATGAAATAATCTAAACACATTTGACAGGTTTAAATATAAGCATTTAGGTCATTTCCTTCCAATAGCTACTATCACTCAGATCCTATTCTTTTGATACACTTTTTTTTTTTTGCATGAACTTTCACTGAACTCAAAAGCATAACAGTAGTAAAGGGGATGGTACAAATTTATGATTTCAATGCTTCACCCCAAAAGTTAGGGTTTAGATAGAAGTAACAAAGATTAGGAGCACAGATAGCACCTTGAAGCAATCGCTTTCTTGGTGTACTTTTTCTCCCTGGACTTAACAGTAAGCAAACACATACTGTAAATGTATTGATTTTTCTACCATGCAGTGCCTCTCTCTCTTAGATTCAAGGAATGGGGCTCCCCCAAATCTAGGTTGAAATCAACATTTCCAAGCAGCTAAGCAAGGTGGCCAGAGGGGCTGTGAAATATTGATTCTAAATGGACACTTATTTCTCTGAATATTTTTCTTCTCATTAAAAACTTACTTTTAGGTTGTTTTTAATTATGAAGGTTTGACATGAACACTACAACTTCAAATAATGCAAAGAACCATAAAGAAGAAAGTAAACATGCTGCATAATCCTATTACCCAGAGAAAACTGTATATGTTTTCAAAGTTTGATAAATAAGAGTAAATAGACATATGGTATTTTATAGATGTAGACATACATATAGTGCTATAAATGCATATTATTCTGCCCAAAAGGGATCTTATTGTGCATAATGATTTATAAACTCATTTCTCACTTTAAAAAAATATCATGGATATCTTCCAAAGTCAACAAAGACATAATTACTTTTATTGACCGCGTGGTATTCCATTATGTGTACTTAACAAAGTCTTTCATGACAGAGTATTTTTACTATTTCTAATGGTCTATTATCATAACTGACACAGCAATAAATATGTACTTTATATACATATTTATATTGTATTCCACTTACATTTCTAGAAAGTTCCTAGAAACAGGAATCATTGAGTCTAAAGCATACTACGTAATTCTGGGATATATAGTTAGTTTATCCTCTAGATAGTTCCTACCAATTTACATCCCACAAACAGTATATAAATAATGGGAATTTCTACATATTTCTACACATTGACAGGCCTATCATCTATTTAGTCAACCAAATGTGGCCGGATAAAATCCTGAGATAGTACCTCAACCATCGCCATGCACAGAGAAGGGAGGAGTCCAATTCTTGCTTTTTGAACACCTACACACTTGACACTCATATCAGTGTCATCCTGATTCCCCATATCCAGAATTTCACTAAATTTTTTGAGAGAAAAAGGAAAATTTCGCCAAGTCTCAGCTCATTCTGAAAGGAGTGGCTGGGACACCTGAACACCTTGAACACCTGAGTATATTCCAGCCTATGCAAGGCAGCATGGCCAAACCTCCTCTCCTCCTCGCTGCACCTAGTCAAATTCCATGTCCTCTCGGTGCTCCCTCCAAAGAGCTCCTCTCAGAGTCTGTCTTGTGGGATGGGACAGGGCATGGTGAGAAAGTAATTTCTTTCTACTCTGCTCCCTTGGGCATGGTTTGTACCACTCTTTCCTTCCCACGGTTCCAGGCTCACTCACAGGAATATTTATAAAAGCAGAATTTGGGGGCAGAAAGATTGGGACCAACACCTGAAGGAAAAAGGAAGCGGGAGGAGTAAGTAGAAAAGGAATGGGGCAGCTCCACGAACAGCCATTAATCTCTGTGTTTTTATCTCATGTAATCCCCCAAATACAATAATCCTTTGGGTGGCTAGTTGCATCCTTGTTTTTCAAAAAAGGAAACTAGGCAAAGAGGGTTTTAAGAACATATCAAAAGGCTCCCAGGCAGCCAGTGAGCAAGGAACTGTGGGATTCCCACTCCAATCCAGCCAACAGGAAGACTACACTCTTCCTCCTGCCTCAGGAGGCTAACCAGGAGTCTGACCACTCCCCCAAGCGAGGCGGCAAGATGCCCAATGACTCCACTCTTTAGATGAGCCATTACAGTGGGGAAGACTATGCTGAAGGTGTGTTTAGAGAAACATGCAAGGGATGAGGCGCACGGGCCGTTGAGATCAAAGCCCAGCTATGCCACTGGTGAGTTTGGGCAAGTTACTTCTTCATCTGTCCTTCAATCTCCTAATCTGTAAAAGAGGGAGAGCATTACTACTGACAGATGGGCCGCCTGAGAAGGAAGTAATATGGATCTATACTGCTCACGGTACTCTTCAGACCCTCAAAACCAACCATGGACTCACTGAATCCCAGTCTACTCGCACTTCTATCTTCCTTCAGCAAGAGTCAAGTCCCCCATCCTGCCCCGATCAAAACACCATTTAAAGAAAATATTTTTTTAATTTCAGTTATTTATTAAACAAATTATTACTATTTCCCAAGAGCCTTTATGGACTGCATCATTAGAATTAACTGAAAAATGATCTGAAAATCATAAATTCCAATAGAAATATCTTCAGAGTGCTATCAAACAAATAAATCATAAAATACTATCAATAATCATGAAATTGTATCAATAACGATGAATTAGATTTCCCAGTTTTTATTCTGGCAAAGAGACATGCAGTTTCCAGTCATAGCCTCTACCCAGCATGATAGAGGAGATATAAAAAAGTAAGAAATTTGATCTTCAATTATCAGCTGGTCAGGCTAATATCCAAGGCTGCCTTTCCAGCAAGTGGGGCTTAGAGAAGCTACTACAAACAATAGCAAGAAAAATTATTTTGAGACAGCATTTTTAAACGCTGGGGAAATGATTACATAGGTTTTTAAATGCTTTCTGATGAAGAGAGAAAATAAATTGGTAGGTATTTGGAAATTTCATTCCTCTAAGTCTAATGTTTATCTGCTATTATCCACAGTGTCAGTACTTACATATTTTCTGGTGCTCTGTAGCAGTTTTATGAATGTCACAGCATTCCATTTCTCATAAGTGTTATATATCTAGGTTCAATGGTTAGTATGTCAAAATATCTACTTTCCTTAATGCTGAAAGATGATTCCAACATCACCCGCCATCTTTTACAGCTGTATCTTCCAAATTTATCTAGTTGTCAGCTTTGTCTAGTTGATCATTAAATACAGATCCCCAGGCTCTATTCCCTGGAGATCCTTAATTTGTGGGTCAAAATGGAGCCAGAGAACTCACCAGAGCACAATTTTAAAGGACAACTCAAGGTAAATAATGGGAAATCTTTTTCAAAAAAGTCTCAGGAGACAGGAGAGGCCCAAAGATAATAACTTGCTGCAAATGCCAGACATATCTGAGTCTGTCACCAAAATGACAGAACCTCAGGAAATGTGCAGAGAGCACTGTACTAGGCTGGGGCCACAGACAACTACAGTGCATCTTTCTGCTTCCTCTGTGGTCTGACAGCCCCTTCCCCCCCTCCTTCCCACCCTCCTGTTCTCCGTCCTCCCTTCACCTCTTCTCACCTGAGCTCCTCTCTCACTTCCCCAACCGTGTTTCCTGCTATCACGAACACATCATTCATGTCCTCAGTCAGCAAGGTGCAGGCATAACCGATGTTGATGGCAGTTTCTGGTACAACACAAAGCTGCTTCAGTTAAGACAGGATTTAATAGCACAAGTATGTTTTTCATAAAAGCTTTGATGCCACTGCTGTATCTCCTCACATTCTATATACCCTGTTGATGTTGGAGCCTGATGAATGATAAATACAAGTGAACCAGAAGGAAATCCAAACATTTGTGTTCCGTGATCAAATTCACCACTCCCTAACCCACTAAGAAGTAGTGTGCTCCATGAAACCTTAGCCTCTTGTTTACCTTGAGATTCTCAAGTTAGCACCCAGAAGGAAACCCTAAGATATTGTGGTACCGTAACATAGACATGAGTAAATATAAAACTTTTGATCAGAAGCCCTAAAATAGTGCTTTTAGACAGCCAAAATACTAAACTTAGCTAATACTCGGTTCTAGCATGGTAGGTAAATTGCAGAAAGAATTCACAAAGTGTCCACTTGAATAACAAATAAAGCTCTTGGAAAAAATGTACAGTTTTCCCACACACAACGTGGCCATTTTTCCATTAAATGAACAGAAATTTGGAATCTAATTATCTTCTCAGAAACCACCCAGAGATGCTGTACTAGAGAACTATAGAATGACATGATTTGGGGGACAGGCCTCCTCCACTTTTAGACAAATAAACCCGGATAGTTAGCTCCTCCCATCTTCCAGAGACTCATTTGATCCTAATTCTATACAATCATTAGACCCTAGCTAATTCTAGTCAGAATTGTCAGATCTGTCCTGAATTGAAAAAGGCAACTGATAAAAATCTCAGCATATCTTTGGAAAACTAAAGCATATCTCTCGCAAAAATCAAAGCTAAATAATAGTAAATCTGTGGGTGTTTGTAGGAATCAAACAGCTGTTGCGCAGATCAAGAGTGCATTTCAGCAAGTCTGTATCTGCTAATGCACCAGGAGGTTCTACTCTCTACTGCTTAGGTTTTGAATAAGTAATTTGGACAAAGATCTAGAGAACAGATTTATCAAATCTTTAAATTCCCCAATGCTTTAAAAAATGACCAGCAAGTGGATAGGATCTTCAACACCACCAGTGAAGCAAATTAGAGACTGTAGTCCCACCAGAAGAACAAATTCCCAGGGCACCAACACAGTCCCCGTTTGCGCCAATGTACCCCAAATCTGATGTCATCACTGTCCTCAAGAAAGAAGAGGATGACCGAGGGCTGGGGTGCTGCAATAGCACCCCAACTGAGGACATCTTTGCCGCCTCTAAAAAAAACTGGTAACAACCCTTGATGTCACTGGTAAGAAAATTTAACTCTTAATTAATACAGGGCTTCTTATTCTCTACTAACCTCTTTCAAGTCATGGCCAATCTCTAATTCCTTTACCCAGTCCTCATAAAAAATATGAAGAGCTAAATCAGACTCATGAAAGGACCTTGGCAAAGCTATTCCAGGACATCTCCAAGACTGGGCTTACGCTACACCCTGTAGCTTTCCGAAAATCAAAAATACCCCCAAGATGGGCCAAGGTTTAAGTCCATATAAAAGACTCTCTAAGAAGCCTTTCCTGTCCTCAGCATGGCAGCAGAGCCTGAGGTGGCAGCTGCTCCTGGCCTTATCAATCTAGGCCAAAAACAGCAAGGCCACCCAAGAGCATGGCAGTGCTATACTCCTGGCTCCCAAACAGGAGCCAGTAAAATTCCAACTGGAAATCGGGCCTTACTAATAACCCAGAAAGAGGGAACCTCTTCAGACCAATTATAATCCAAATAAAAGGCTTATTCCAAGTCATCCTAATTCCCCCTCAGCACTCAAACTAATAGAAGCAGACAGCTGGTCTACCTCTCCAAGGTCTAGCCGGCTCTGGCAGGGGCCAGGAAGTGCAGAAGACCTCAGGCTCCTGTGCGGCAAGAAAGCCTTGCAAACTGTTAAGTCATCTTCAAGCTCCCATGAACCTGCCTGATAATCCTGTCTCTAAATTCTATGAGACTATCTTAAATGCTGTTCCTGACTACAGCTTAGACATCCTTTATGACTCTAACCTATTCCTAAATTTCATCTTCAATCTTCTCTGATAAGCAGATATGACTATAACCGCAGGACTTCCGTAACACTAGTGGACTCCAGTTCAGGGGCTGAGCTTTCTCACTTGTGTTGCAGTAACCTCCACTATCCCCCCACCCTCCCGTCTTACAGTCTCACTCCTCACATTTAAGCAACTTCCACGCATCTCAGTCCTGTAGCAGACATGTCCACAGCGGGGAGTCAGCCCGTCTCTGAGGCATGGAGTCCACGGCATACTGGAGCCTCCAAGGCCTGTGGGGCCACCTCTCCATCCTCCTGTCCAGACCCTGAGAATATTCCTTTTCCTCTGAGGGACTGCAGCTTTCCTGTGCCTTCTTCCCCCAAGTGGACAGGTATTTACGTGCCAGTTTACCTTCTCCCTGTGTGATCCATTCCTAATCTTCCAGTACCAATTCCTCTGTCTCAGAAATATTCCAGGATCCATCATTAGCTGAATCAAGAGGGCTCAAGCAGTCTCCCTCCTGATGCTTCTAGGAACCCTCACCAGAATAGGGATGGGACAGGCAGACTAATGCACTCTCTGGCCCACACATGAGACCTGGCACTTTCCCTAAGTCAACAGATAATCAAACTGACAGAGGTCACCACGTCACTTCAAAGGCAAGTTAACCTCTGCAGCCAAGCTCTTTGCCCTCCAAAACTGCGGGGTGCTTGATCTGTTCACTTGTGCCATGCTAAAGGAAGAATGTTGCTTCTTTATTAGTGAAACTGACCAAGTTATAGATAACCTGGATCCTAGCACATGAAGGCCAAGGACAATCAGAAACACTATGAACATTGGGGGCTCCACTGGTCAGACTGGAAACTCAGTGTCTGCTCCTGGTTCTCCTGGGTAGTCCCCTCACTCAGTGGGGCCTCTCATATTGCAGTCCTCCTCATCTTTGGCTTTTGCTTACTCACCCTCATTTATAACTTCCAGATTACAGAAACTCAAGGCCAGGCTAATGCCAGTTCCTGAATTTCAGCCTGTCCCACTGGAACCCAAGTCTAACAAGCCAGAAATCCCCCTACAACCCTCAGATCAGATAGGGCGACAGACAGGAACAAACACTGAGAGATTTCCATAAACAGTCAGTAAACCTGCCTGGCTGAGCCTCTCCAAAGCCTGTCCACCACCCTGACCTCTCTATCAAGAAATTACAGGTGCAACCCAAGATCCCCAGGGTCTGGCTTCAGCGCCATGGATATCTGACCTACTTGGGGACCATGCTCATGGCATAATTATTAAATAGTTTAATACTACGGTGTCCCATTGATATTAGAGAAAGTTACACTGAAACTCTCCTGACCCCATGATACACTGCAGGAGGCATTAAGGATGGGATTAGTTTGGTTCTGTGTAAGTAGTACTCTCACACTATTCAAGCTTTTTCCTATGTGGAGGACTGGACAAATATCTAGGTAATTAAAGTTCTTAATTAAAAGTTTACCACAGAATTCCACTCCCCCCTTTCTAAACATCACCATCATCATCATCATCATCATCAATTTTCAAATTACCTTGTTTATCTCCTGTTAGAACCCAGATCTTAATATTGGCTACTGATAAACTTGCAATGGTTTCAATAACACCTTCCTGTAGCTTATCTTCTATAGCGGTGGCACCTAGTAGCTTCCGTGGGAAATGGAGAACAATTTATGTTAATGCGTGTAACACAACATTCGCATATCTATCCCTGTCCATCTCAGCGTGTGGTCAAGGAACAGGAACTGAAGGTGGCAGAGACCTGGGAGTTAGGGTTACATGTCATGTTAACATCAAGGGTCAGGAGCCGCGGCCTCTACCGACTTGACTGCTTCCTCTCAGACATCAACAATGGAGAGATCCAGATAAGGGAAGGTTCATGCCAGGGAACTGATCACAAAAAGCTAGGTCACTGTGCTACACTCATGAACCAGCACAGGCTTTGTAAAAAGAGAAGCTTTCTGTGCAATTTTCATCCAAAGATGAACAAGTCGTGCTCCCCGGTACTACCTGAACCCTGTGGGCTCCAGGAAAAGCGGCTTCTAGCACAAACCACACTCTGGATAGCACAGACAGCATCAGACCTCCCAGGCTTGGACAGTCAGGGTTATAGCCCTGTTCTTCATAGCAAGTTTCCACGCTCTAAAACAGTGAGCCATATGCAGGGATAAAAAAATCAACCCACAGTAACATGAAGGACACAGCGGAGGTTAACATCTAACAGGGAGGCTGCTATTGGCAAAATCTTGGGGGCTTCCAGTTGCAGAAGCTACTGCAAACACCAATAAAGCACTAGGGCCATCCGTGGCAAACTCAAAGCCAACACAGAACGGGACTCAGTGTCGGAAAGAGGCTGCGCTCCCACACGCTGCGGAGACGATACCGTCAGATCTCTTTCAATTTCCTCATAGAGCCCCGATACCCGGTCGTCCCTCTCGTGTGTGGCGGCACTCGCAGTCTGGAGCATCTGGTGCCACTCTCTGAAGTACTTCTCGTCCAGATCCCTGTAGGCGATCGCCAAGGTCCGAAGGCCTTCCCCCGCAAACTCCTGCAAGGAGACGGAGACTTAGGAACCTGGGGAGGAGTAAGGCCAGCGGGACCCATTGCCACGGTGAAGGAGAAGTTTTTCCCTCAGATGCATGTGGTGCCAAGGGTGCTACTTGGCCATCCTAACTCATTTTTATCTCCTCAGCAATGGGAGATGGTGCTAGTATTGCATTTGTGTGCTGTTAAAATGCGCAGGAGGCTCACTCCTGTAATCCCTGCTATTTGGGAGGCTGAGGCAGGATGAATCCAACCAAGCTTGAGACCTTGTCTCAAAATAACAATATCTTAAAAGGGCTGAGAATGTAAATCAGTGGTAGACTGCCACTGGGCTCAGTCCCCAGTACCACAATAAATAAACAAATAAATAAATGAACAAACCCTGGGGGAGGGGCAAAAACAGCTGAAATGTATGCAAAAGAGGGCCTCCGCTGAGATCCGATGAGTGGGTCCCCAGTCTAGGGATCCAACTCAGGGGCACTTTACCAATGAGCTGCATCCACAGTACTTTCTATTTTTTTAATTTTGAGACAGAATCTCCATTAAAAACAGGCAGGATGTGACCCTCCTGCCTCATCCTCCCTCTGGGTATCTCCCTTATGATTTGAGATACCACTGTAAAGCAACATGCTCTGGTTTTCAGTCCCCCATCCATAAAAGAATATTCTTCCGGGTGGCCCCTGGGTTCCAGTGGAGAGCAAGAACCTCAAAGGGCCCCAGCTCTCAGACCCAGGCAGGCAGTGCTGACGGAACCACGGCTGGACCACCTCCCAGTCTTGCCACACTCTCCCTCATGTTTGACCTGAGCCTGAATTCATATGGCTGTACTTTTGTACATGCTTGGAAATTCTCATGGTCAAAAGCTAACAATAAATAGTGAATGAATTCATAGATGTGAAATAGCCAGATAATAACTTTTAGGGGAGAAGGAGAGAGAAAGGAAAAAGGAAGACTAGAAGGGGAGTCTGATTTACTTCTCCTTCTAGACATCTGGGAAACTGGAAGTTTTTTGAAATTTTAAAGACGACATCATCATCAAGTCAGGTCAGGCTTTTTTGTTTGCTTGTTTTTGTTACTTTTTAAGCAACCATGTTCTACAGGGTTAGTATTTAACACTCCCAGTGATTGGGAAACTATTGTTTCCTGAGAGGGTCTCAGTAAAGTGACTGTCTGATACTTTATCCTTCTACAAGAGTTGGGAACGGGAGGCAGGGGCTGCTACGGGACTCCCATGACCACAACAGCTAGATCATTTCGGGGAAGCACTGGACACCTCCCACTTCGTCCCTGCCTCCACGGGCCTCTTCTCATCCAGCCAAGTGCTTTATTACCATTTCTGCTCCTCTGGCACTGCCACGGGGCACGACCTCTCCATTGTGTTCAGACTTATGGGACAGACAGAACTTACGTACAAGTTAGACCATGACACACTCTAGCTGGACACATGGGAAGGAAAGTCAGCGGATGCCGTGTCGATGTTGTTGGGCCCGGACAGATGGGGAGAAAAACTACCCACATTTATCACGTAGGCAGTTGGTAACGTCCAGAATACCACAGTCATATTTTACAAGCCCTGCCTTCCAAGACCACCGCCGAGGACCCTTCTGATCTGAAAACCTAGTTACTGCCTTGTAACACTCTTTTGTCCTCTTAATTCGCACAAACATTTCTTCGCCTTTAACTCGAAACTCCTCCGGGCATTAGCAGTGTCTTTCTCTGCGTTCCGCACTGGAACACTGACTCAGCTAAAGGAGGACACCACAAAAGAGAGCAGATGATTTAAGTTATTTCATTTAGTGCCTGAAACACAAGCTTCACCCTAAATGAGCACCGGGGCAAGGTCTTTTCCTATCATTAAACAATTCAAAATCAATAATTAAATACAAACTTAAAAACATCAGAATCTAGCAGGCAAAATAAATAAAGTGAATGAAGCAAAGAACAAGCCAAAGTGATCTTGCCAAAAAAAAATTCTTTTGTATAAATACATAAAAATACCAACTTAAGCTTCCTGTGCTTGGGTATGAAAGGAGAATACATGAAAATCGAGGACCTTGGTGTGTAAGTAAAGGCAAAAATCAGATAGTTATGATTCCAATGTTGTTTTCATAAAAATTTTTTTTTTTTTAAAAAAGACTATGCCAGCCTTCTGGAAAAGATTAAAAGAAAATCAAGAATGCTCTATTGGAAAGACAAAAACAATAGCTATGTTTGTAACCAATATTACTAAACCATCATTTCTTAAACTTAAAGACAGCGTTTTTATATTTTATTTGTTTTTGTAAGGATTCAGGGAATGTTTTATATTAAATATAGGGTCTGACAAAGGACACAAATCTTCAATAAATTTTGAAGGGAGAAAAGAAAAAACAATGAGAAAATGAGAGTTTTGACTTTGAGTTTCCCTCAAAGTTCATGTGGGGTTTAATAAAACCTTAAAAAAATGTTAGCGAGAATCTCGGGTTCAAATGCATTGGGTCCAAGTGAACGTAGGCCTGCAGTCTTCGGGGGGAAATCATGGAGCTGAAATCGCCTTGGTTCCCTTCAGAAAGCTTCCGGGATGCAATTCAGCGGGTATTGGAAGGGACAGGTTTGCAGCAGTCATGGCAGAACCTGAGTAAAAGACCCATGTGGAGGACAAAGCTGGTTTCAGATGCTCTGAACACAGCCCCAGCTGATTCCTGGGCAGGACACGAGAGAGACAGAGAAAAGGAGCTCTCCAGTTCTACTTCCCGGAGCTGGTCCAGGCTTCCAAGAAAGCTCTCCCTCCCCTCCTGTGACTCTGAAGGCCCCGGAGCGCTGGCTGGGGTCCAGCCCTCGTGGTGTGCCTCCCTCGCGGCTGGTGTGGGGCCACCTGCATGAGGCTCACCAACACGCACCCCGATCCCAGACCCTCACGGGCACAGCTTCCCATGCATCAGCCCCCGGGCTGTTCCCTATTTCTGCAGTCAGATCATTTCCCCGATGCTCCCTAAGCGAGATTCAGCCACAGGAGACAGCACAGAGGCTGCTATGCTACCCTTACAGAGCCACTTACACTGAGATGGTCCGACGTCACAGACAGGAGGGCCTCGCTGGAAGGGTGCAGTCTTTCAAACAGGATGGTATCTGCTCCTTTGGAATAAAGCTTTATCTGTCCTGCTGGGTTTCGAACTGAAAAGGAAACAAGTTTGGAAAAGTGGATCTTCACAGAGGAAATCGGTCAAAACTGCTCCAGCAAAGTTTGGGAAAGGACATTACTTTTCAGCCAGTAAAATATTCAGTGGCAGCTAAGTCACTGAGCTTCCTTCCTATTTTACTAATTTAGAAATTTTCTTTCTACTGGAATCTCTCGACTTCCCAGACTCAGAAACAAGTGTTTGTGTTCGGGTGCCTATGACCGGCTTGTTTTCCTTAACTCCTGTTGCCGAAGGGTTGATATATTTGAATTAAACCTTCTGCATCTGAGCAGAATTCAGAGCTGTGTTTGAAAGCTCCCGGTGTGAAATTCAAGACCTACTGTTCAAATCACCATCACTGCTTTACCAAATTGTCTCCATGTGGAATTCTACACATACCAGCCATGGTTTATACTTTGCTGATTGATTTCTTTACTGCCTTCGCTCTTGGAAAAGCCCATGTATTCTCCATGGTTTACTCCTGGGTCAGTAACGGCAGCAGCACTCCCCACAGAGAGCTTTAAAAAAATAAATAAATAAAGCTTCTACCCCTTTCCTATGGAAAGTCAGCTCTCCAGGGATTGTGTTTTTACCTTCCCACGTTTAGGAACAACAGCCTTCCGGCACCTCCAATCCCACCTATAGATCTGTCCACCAAATCATTCAGAACATTTGACCTAACTTTGTAGGCTTGGTTTCACAGCTTGACATACAGTAGAAACTTAATAATTACGTATTGAAGAAAGAAATGAATGAATGAGTGACATGGTTGTGTATTTCTTCCTTCCTAGGAACTATTTACCCTTTGAGACAACTGTATGGGTCCCCGCTTCTTGGTCTGAACATTGTGGCCTTCACGAGCTGCAACCATTAAATCAAAGATCATTCCACACTTTTCACTTAACTGTACCTTTCCTCTAAAAGTAAAATGCCTCAAAACTTGAACAGAAATATCCACTACTGTTAATTTAATGGGATACAAACTTGATTTGAGCATGATTTAAAGGAATATAACATCCAAAGTAAAATAATTAGCTGCTTTCCCCTCTAACTTTTAACTACTCTTAGTCAATGCTTAATTTATTCTGGTTTCCTCCTGGCTTGAGCAGATGCAATGCACCCCGGGAACTTTTGAGTACAGGGTCCTATCTAGGTCTTTCTTCTGTTCTAAGCTCCTCTGTCAGCTTTCCTTGTTCCTGAACTCACACAGTTCTACTATTCTAGCTGTGATTACTCACTTTGGGGAAAAAAGATAGAAACTATATAAGTAATCCATCTAATTGTTCCACTAGAGGGAAAAAAATAGTCTGAGGGAAAGTCTTTTCTTGCTTTTGTTCTACAACAGTCCAATTTAATAAGTTCCCCTCATATTTTCCCCTCCATCCCACAAGGTATAAAGGCAGAGTATGCATACCCTACATTTTCCAGAATGATTTCTCTGTGGTTATTTTTATGTCCAGACTAGGGTATGATTCTCAAATGTTTTGGTCTCAGGATCCCTTCATGGTCAAGACTAAGGGAAGGCTTCGAATTTGATTCATCAATAGTCTGATAACACTGATTATAATATCATTATAGCAATGATTATTACAACAGTAATAAACCTAACACATACATAGTTTTCTATAAAAGTAATTACATTTTCTAAACAAAACTATAAAGAGTTGGCATTCTTTTACATGATTACAGATCTCCTTAATATCTGGCTTAATAAAAAACAGCTGGCTCCTCATATATCAGCTTCATTCTGCTCTAATATCTCACATTGTGGGAGTCAGGCATGGTAGCATGCACTTTGGGAGGGTGAGGCAGGAGGATTGCAAGTTAAACCTCAGCCTAAGAAATGGCAACTTAACGAGACCCTGTCTCAAAATAAACAGGGCTGGGGATGTAGCTCAGTGTGAAGGCCCTGGGTTCAATTCCCATACCAAAAAGTCACACACAATGTGCCTGTTGCAAAACCTCATAATATACTCATCAAAAAAAAAACAAAAAAAAACAGACTGAAAACGACAACAGTGGTACGATAATGAAAACATTTTTACCCAAATACTCTCATTCATCTGCATCCTTAAAAAAAAAAAAACCCCAAGGGTTCCTAAAGTTCCCCAGACTGCATATTGAGAATTTCTTGTCTAAAAGAATCATAAACTGATTTTGATTTGTGTCCTTGACCATTTCTGTATCTCAATTTCTACATATAAAAAGATCTTTAAACAATTTAACTTCACACATCCTTCCAGTTGTGCAATTTTCTGATTCAATAAGTATCTTCTATATTTGATGCCTTGTCTTGACCCAGATCCACCCTTTAAATATGAGATTGTGTAAGTCCAATTTCATGGAATCCTGCCTAAGTTAATGTACTAAAAACATTTATATCACTTTTTCCTCAAGGCTCTGGGTTATTCCTGTCAAAAGCTAATAAAATATCAGTCACATTAAGAGTTAGCCTTTTTAAAACAAATTAAAAATAACACAATGGTTTTAAGTGTTCACAGTAACATATGGGCAAAGGTCATAGGGTTTAGGTTATAAATCTTCTATTTCTTGTCCTTTAAAGAGAGAGCTCCACTCCTGGGAGATTTTCTGAGTCTTTTTCTCCTCCCATGCTCCGTCCTCTTCCTGGCAACTCCATTCATGTTTGGTCTCAGGTTCCGTCACAAGGCTGACTGCACTCCAATGGGTACCCGCTGCCCAAAACATCTCCAGCACACCTTCTGACCTATCCGTCCACTACCAGCTGAGCATCTCTCACATGTACCCAGACATATCTGTCTCACACTGGACACATTCACCTTCCTCCAATAATGAGCTACTTCTCCTATGACCCTAACCTCTGTATTCATCTTTGCCCTTCCTTCATTCTTCCAAACTAGAAATCTGGACATCCCTCATAGTTGCTCCCCCTGCCACCCATGTATCATGAACTTCCGTAACAAAAACACCTGACATTTACAACTTAAAGGAGAAGAAGTGAATCTGGGCTAATGGTTTTAGTCCATGGTCAGCTGGCTCCAAAGCAGAAATATCATGGCAGACAGGCATGGAAGAGGAAGGGTGCTTACCTCATGGCAGCCAGAAGAGAAGAGAGCCTGAGAGATCTGAAGGGACTAGAGACAAGAAACGTCCTTCTGGGCCATACCTCCAGGGCCCTACTTCCTCCAGCAAAGCCCCGCCTCCTGACAGCACATTCAAAATAACAGACTCATCAGTGGACCAATCCATGGATGAGGTTAGCACTCCATGATCCAGTCACCTCCCAAGAGCCTCTTCACTGACCACCTGACACTTTTGGGGTACGTTTTTGATCCAACCCATATCAACAGGTATACTAACAAGAGTAGATTCTTTACCCTCTGACAAAATTCTACAGAAATCGACTTTTATTTAGATACCACAGACTGAAATCACAGCTCTGGCCTCAGAATGACATCCCTGTGGATACTGAATCTGTAATCGATTTGATGAATGACAAACCAGATCCAAAAAAAAAAAGAAAAAGAAAAGAGAAAGACAGAGGAGAAAGATGGGGAAGGAAGGAGAAGAGAAGACGATGAAGAAATGGATGAGGAAGAGACTGAAACAGCAGCAGCAGCAGGAACAAATGTCTGAGCCTTCACATCAGTGCCGGCCCCACTAAGTCACGTGGCAGTCATGAGCGTAGGACGCTCTCTTGCCTTGTTATCAAACAGAGACTTCTCTGCTCTCCTGGAGTCCCTCTCAAATTCCTCTTGATTAAAACCCCAAATGGAACCCAACCCAAGCCACCAAGCCTCTATGAGTTCCACGGTGGAACATTACCTTTTGTCATGTGCAACCCATTAAAGCAGACATCTCATGTTTGCGGTTACGCTGTGATTTCCCCATCCCTGTAATGGTGACCGACGCTGAAGGAAAGCCAAGTCTCCCTGTGTAGCAATCTTAGGTTTTTGTCAACACCATCAGAGCAAAGAGAAACCAAGTCTGGGCCAAACCAGCATCACTAACACATCCCTGCAGTTGTAAATAGAAGACAGCTCCTGCTGTAGGGACATGCAGCCAACACCTAGAGCAGCGTGCATCCTCCTAAGCAGATGACAGCCGACAGCCTGTTGTCATAAAAATAAACACAAATGGCTTCAGATGGCATTTGGTTTTCCCTTGCTGAGAGCAAGCTTTCAGGGCCAGTTTGTAGTGGAGACCCCAAACCCTACCATTCCAAACTGACTTAGCACCAGGACCAGGATATGAATGAGTTACAAAGTTTGGGTTGAGCTTTATTTAAAAACTATTTACAGCAAAGTTTCTGTGTGCCAAGCTATATACTTGGCCCTGGAGAGTTAAAGGCTCAGGCCTGGTGCCTGGCCTGCCTATTGCCGGGGATAATCACACATCTCTGAGGATGGTCTCACACTGGAGTTACGAGCAAAGCACTCAGAGGAACACAGGCAGGGGCAGTTATTTGGAGAAGAAAAAACAGGTGGTATTTGAACTGGATAAATAGGAGTTTTTCAAGAAAGAGAAGTAGGGGAGAGAGTTGTTCTAGATGGAGAAGACAGCATTATAGGGGCATAAGAGTACACAATGCATCTCAGAAACAATGAGGTCTACCGAGGTTGGAGCACAACTTGTGAAACAGAAGAAAAGTAGGTTGACAATCTATTGCAAATAATTTTGAGTGTCACACTAAGGACTTAATCCTCAAATTCTAGGAAGTCATCAATGTTTTCTAAGTAGATGGTGGCCAATCAAGCCTATATTTTAGAAGGAGAACCCTGGTGTCAGCATAGAAGATTATTTTCAGGGAAATCATTTTAAAGATATTGCAATAATACAAGCAGGCATTGTATTATTGCTTAATGAAAGCCATGACATTGAGAAATTAAAGGAAAAAGACAAAAGACTTTTATAATAAAAGGTGGTTTATGAAACTATTTTTGGAAATATTACTCTGATGCCTTTGTGGAGGGAGGATTTAGAAACAGGGAGGCAACAGAGAAGGAGGTGGGGTTGAGAAATGTCTCAGACATCTCCAGGAAAAATAATGAATAACAATTGAGAATAAGTTAGGTTAGGGCAGCAGTCTTCAGACTGTGATCCCCTGACCAGTAGTATCAGCTAGAAATTTATTAGAAATGGAGATTTGGGTTCTTTTTTCCCCAACCAACTGAATCTGACACTGGGGACTGAAGTCCAGCAGTTGTATTTTAAGAAGCCCTCTGGTGATTCTCATAGGAGCTTAAGTTGGAGAACTCCTACCCCGGAGACATAAAGGATATGGAGGTATCAAAAGCAGGTGGACTACACCTGAGGTTAAGAGGCCAGACTTTAGAAGAGACAGCCCTGGGTTCAAATACTGGCTCTGCAACTGAGCAGTTATGTGACAAGTTATGCAATGGCCATGCATCTATCTCTGGAAAGTTACTAAAACCTTTCAGTTCAATTTCCTGTGTCCTAAATGAAGGTAATACACTATTGAGACAATTCAATAAAAGAGCTCATTATAAAGTGTTCAGCTCACTGAAAAGTTTTCCATAAAAGATAACTGCTGGTTTTAATTCAGACCATAGAAAGAACAATAGCTATGAGAAAGCAAATTCCATACTTGACATGAATTTTAGGTAATTATAGTACAGTGTCTTCCGGGAGAAGGGTGAAAATCTATGAATCTCAGAGAAGAGTGAAATGGAAGAAGACACAGGAAGATCACAGAATAGACCAGGGCCATCTCAAAGGAGTGGTCAAGTTCACCCTAGGAGAACACAAGAGCGAGAAGATTAAGGAGTGGGGCGAGGGAAAGTAGTTAGCAAAGGCGCTTGAGAAAGAAAACACTGGACAGGAGGAGGGTTAGGAGCCAGTAAGGTCACAGAGAGGAAAGAAAGGAGGGTCAGAGAATAAGGTCAACAAGACCAAACATTACTAAGTTAAGAAAAACTGTCCACCATGTTGGATAGTCCCAGGTGACCAGAACTTCTGAAGTTGCATTTCTTCCTGTGGAAACACAAGAACACGAAGGGGATGAACAGAGAAAGAATGCTGAGGGACATAAACTTGCCTTGAGAACTTCATCTGTGATGGAAAGCAGAAACAACAGGCTGGCAAAATCAGCAGACCTCACAATGTGGACAATACCTTAAGGAAACAGGGTGGGGTAGAGCTGTGGCCTACAAGGAGGAGCCAATGATGGAGGACAAATTAAAGCACAAGCACAGAAGAAGGAAGTAAGGAGGATAAGGAAGGACACCTAGTGAGAGCCTCGGCTCTGAAAAGCAATCAGAGTGCTTTTCCTCTGATCAGGAAGGGAAATAAGTAAAGATGTCATCAGGAGAGGAGAGAGACAGGGGACAAGTGTGTGCTAATGGTAGGCTTCCCTGAAGCATGGAAACAGCACTGAGGGTTACCGCTGCGTTGGGAGCACGCATCAGTGGTGCTGGTAAATCCAGTGTATTGGAGGGTGAACTGAGAAAATGAATGAAATGGCTCCTGATGTTCACAACTAGAGTGGGCCAAGCAATCCAGAACCTCTTCCCGAGCCAGACCTCCATCACCACACTTCCTGGGGATGAGCCCCACACTATGCCACTTCAAGCTATTGAACCTGGGCAAATTACTCAGCCTCTCCAAGCTGCAACTTCATTAGCTGTAAAATGAGCATGAAAATAATGGTACTGCCTACCTCACGATTGTTGTGGTGTCAATTAAATCTTTAAATTCAAGTAGAACATTTGGGCCAATGCTAGACAGACACATAGTAAGTCCCTGTTGAATGTTATAGGGTTGAGACTAAGCGGCAGCTCCCAGGAACTCACGAAGTTACAAAACTGTCACAGCTCTCAGCATAGAGCCAAAAAGGAAATAACCCTTGAAAAGCATCAGTATAACTATAGTATCATTCAAAGATCACAAATAAACTCAAGCATCCACCATACCTATGACAGACATCCTTTTCCTGATATTGTTGAAATCCAAAAAGGCAAGCAATTGATAAGTAACAAGTGTTCCCATTTCTTCTATTGTTATTGTCTCTGGGGTCCGAGACTTAAAAATGAAGCCACAGTTTCTAGCAGCAGTTACCAGGGCCCCTTCATCAGGCGACTGAACTTGGTAGATTAGCTTTCCTAGAAAGGAAGAAAAAGAAAGTATATCACGCTTGGGAATAACAACTAACATTCTTAGAATTCCATGCTAATCCCAACTCATTCTTTAATACCCAACTCAACTAGCAGCTTTGAAAACATTGTTGATATTCTTAAGCCTTTGCTCCCTATCCACCAGCTGAACCAGGTGTCTGTCCTCTGGGATATCACCAGGACCCCATGTGCACCACCAGGTAGCCCTTGTCATCTTTTAGGAGAACATCTGTTTCTGAGTCTGCCTCCCCACTGTGCTGACCAAAGACCATGCTTTTGCATTTTCAGTTCCCAGAGATGAATCAGGAACATTTCATAAACTAAGTCAGTTTAATGTTTGATACCTCACATAAAACTGAGGGCAAGCCTTTGAAGTAAAGATCATTAAAATTATTATTTCCATTTTTGTCCTCATGAGACTGATAGCTGAAAGACACTCTGATTCCTGGCAAGATCTCACAGCGAAAAAGCAAGGGAGCAGCTACTCTGAATCCCACTTCTGTTAGCCACTAACAACCATGAGAGTATATATAAGAAATCCATTGAAATGTAAGGAATCAAATCAGGCTCTCAATGCTTGTTATATGGTACTGTGTGTGTGTTGGAGTTGGAGTAACAGGGGAGAGGAGAGAGAAAAGGACAAAGTAAGCAAAAAAAGTTAATATGCTTTTTAAAATAGTATGCATAAACTCTTCTACATAAAATTATATCCTTTTTGTAAAAATGAATTAGAAAAAGAAGGCAAAGCTTGATCTATATTTTCTGATTTATAGTGATATTTAAGATAAACTTACAAAAACAAGTTGTATGTTACTGGACACACTATAATTCCTTTAGGTTAAAAAAATCCCTATTTTTATATATAAAGCAAGTGAAAGAGTAAAATGATCATGCAAAATGTTACCACTGGAGGAGTTTAGGAAATAAATGACTGTATTGTTTCACTTACAATAGGTGTGAATTAATTCTTGAAATTCAAAAGTGGAAAGAACTCCAAGCAGTTGTTTGATCTACCTGTGAAATCATATAATAACTCCTACCTTTTGCAAGATGGTAGATCAGATGTGAGGACTGATCTCTTTTGCTGCAAGTACCTTTAAAAACCTTTAATTTTTAAAATATATCTGTTAACTGCTAATAAGCAAGAACTGTCCTGGTCAGAGAATGAGAAAAATAATAGAGATGGTATTTAAAAAACAACAACAACAACAACAAAAACTGCAATCAGCTCTTGCCTTAAGGGCATTTTCTGAACTAGGAAAATTTAGTCATTGCTTTCCAGCCTATCTAGGCTATAAAAGGCACAGCCAAAGCCTGTCCAAGTTAAGAAATGTAGTGGAGACCACCTCTTAAAACTGACATACTATACTTAAAAAGTGAATTGGAAGTCTGTTCCTCTTTTTAGAGGCTTACAGTGAAAATTGCCTACCTAGGGCCGGGGATTTAGCTCAGTAATGCAACCCTGACTCACAAGTGCAAGGTCCCAAGTTCGATCCCTGGTACCAAAAAAAAAAAAAAAAAAAAAAAAA